AGTTGCTCTTTCCTCCTCAACAGCTTAGTCCTATTATTTTATCTTTAGTTTCCCTGGACCTGGCATTTCATGTGTGAGAGAGTGATAGGGTAGTGGTAGTTGAATTAGCTATAAATAGTGTGAACATGGTGGAAGTTATGATAATGTAAATAATTAGATTTAATAGTGTTATTGTGGGGTTATATGGTAAAACTGCTGTTATTCAACCTATGTGGGCAATTGATGAGTAGGCTATAATTTTTCGTAGTTGCGTTTGGTTTAGCCCTCCTCAACCTCCAATTATAATTGATAGAATTGAAATTGTTAAGATTATGTTTAGGTTAATAGATGGAAAAATTTGGTAAAGCACGGATATGGGGGCTAGTTTTTGTCATGTTAGTAGAATTAGGCCTGATGATAAGGGAATGCCTTGTGTTACTTCTGGAACTCAAAAGTGAAATGGGGCTATTCCTAGTTTTATAGCGAGGGCTATTGTTATAAGTATAGATGCTACTGGATTAAATAGTTTTATTACGGTTCATTGGCCTGAGAATATTAGATTAATAATTACAGCTATTATTAGTAATATTGAGGCTGTTGATTGACCCCTCCAGGGTCCTCTCCTCTGCCCTCACACCATCAGACTTTTCCTTGCAGATCATCCAGGCAGGCTTTGAGCCACAGAGCAGATTGAATTGCCCGGAGGGCTCCTGAGATGTGAAGATCTCTGGTAATCTCAGAGTGATCCACAACTGAATGAAACACTTGAATGTGAAGTGTTAAGGTTAATTGTGGGTATTATGAAATTATGATTGATCCAGTATGGATCTTTTTCCTTGTAGGGCAATTTCTAGACCCATTCAGTCATCCAGAATGGCCTATTTGAGGCCGGACCCTTAGGGAACAGTTGCTCAAAGTCTGATTCCCCAACCATCGTGATCTAACCTCACGGGTTGCTTATTAAAACTGCAGCTTCCTGGGCCTCACTTGACTAGTAAATCAGAATTTCTCACAGCTGGCAGGCAATTTGAATTTAAAATATGCTCCTTGGCGATTTTTAAGTTCACTAAATTGTGAGAAACTCTGCCATTGTGCTAATTATCATCTAAAAATCATTATCCTCTAAAAACCCACTATAATTTTCCCCTCTTTATATCACAAAGAATTTTATTTATATGTACCTTTAACTTGTGCAAGTGTTAGATATTAGATATTAGATTGAAGAATTTAGCAACAATATTCAGCAAATATTCTACTATTATACATAAGCCATGGAGCTATACTCTCTTGACTTGAAAAAGATAAGGTGAATTCTCCAACCTATGTCCCTCTTTTAAACGCTTCCATGTAGGGGGAGTGACTCATAGGCAACAAGGAGCACCTTGCTTTTTTAAAAAAATTTTATTTATTTTTAATTTAAAGATATTTGCTTTATAATATTGTATTGGTTTCTGCCATACATCAACATGAATCAGCCATAGGTACATACAAGTCCCCTCCCTCTTGAACCTCACTCCCACCTCCCACCCCATCCCACCCCTCTAGGTTGTCACAGAGCCCTGGTTTGAGTTCCCTGCGTCATACAGCACATTCCCACTGGCTGTTTTACACACATGTTGGTGTATGTATATCATGCTTCTCTTCCATCCGTCCCACCCGCTTCTTTCCCACCACCCCCATGTCCATGATGTCTGCATGGACATTAAACCTGCATATCCATTACTGCCCAGTAAACAGGTTCATCAGTATCATCTTTCTAGATGCCACATATATATAAAATGGAAAATTACTCAACACCTTTTTAATACATTGTGTATTTCATGATGCTTCTCGGAAATGGCAACCCATTCCAGTATTCTTGCCTGGAGAATCCCATGGACGGAGGAGCCTCGTAGGCTACAATCCACGGGGTCGCAAAGAGTCGGACACTACTGAGTGACTTCACTTCTTCACTTCACTATTGTTCAGAGAGGATCTGCATTTATATAATTTTACATAAAAAGTTTAGTTGGAAAGTTTTCTTTTTGGCCCTTATGTTAGTATACAGTTTCCTATATATGAACCATATCTATGTAGAATCATGTCTCTTGATATTACATATACCTACATATGCATATATCTTTATGTAGAAATCTATCCACTAGTCATATCATCATATTTTCTCCTATGTCAAGGACTTTATCCCTGAGACATCAGTTCAGTTTTCTTCAATTTTCATGTTCTCTGGTGACTGTGGGGTAGTTCAGAGTTTGGATTAATGACAAACCCAGGCCACATTCCTATTACTTTTTCTGATGGGGGTTGAGGGGACAAAATCCCATTATAGGCTACTGTCCCTGCTGTGTGGACTGCAGCTGGAATAAAGTGGATTGCAGGTGCGCTAACTGCTACCCGCGTCCTGGTGGTCTGTCTCCACCTTCCCCTCATCTCCATTCCCAAGGTCACACTGGCCGCTCCATGGAAAGGCCGTCCTCAGGGACAAAGTCTCCAGCTAACTGTGGTTTCTCTACTTATGGAGCAAACAGGGAGCAGGACCGGAGTGGGACTACTTGGTTATTCCATCAGCAACAAGTTCTCTGGCCTCTTTTGCTCATGTCCCATGAAGAATATCAGTGTCTGGGTGAGAGGAGAAGGGCTAGAAAGAGACAGGGCACAGGTCCCAGGGCAACCGCCAGAAACCTCCCTCAAGCTGGATGTGGCTGGAGTTGGTCTCCTACAGATGCTGCCTATTGGTACATGTGTCCCCTTTCTTAGGGTTTTCCGGGAAACTTAACTACACATCCCTCAGAGCTCGAAAACTCAGAAATTCTAGGTTCCCAAATGACTGTTTTTCTCCAAAATTTTGAGTTTAATAAATTAATCTTTGTGTAGCGTTTTGCAATTTACAAAGTGCTTTTCACTTACATAATTTTGAGTCATGAAATCCTCAAACATTCCCAAGTGGTTTTATTTTAAAGGAGGAGATTTTGGTTTCCATTAACCCCACCAAGACACAGTGCATGACAAGTAGCCTTAAAAGTTTGTAGAATTAACAGTTAAAAGAAGCCCCAGTCTTCTGTGATATGGCCCGACTCAGAAAGCATTTGATCTATCCTTTTCTTATAGCACTTATTGCTGATCTTGCATATTCTTATTTTTTTACTTGCCTTATCTCACTTAGTAGATTTGAAATTCTTTAAAGCAACATCTCTGTCAGATTTATCTGTGTATTTTTCACAGCACCAGTGAAACTGGCAGGCCCCAAATTGATGTTTGTAAAATGAATGAAAGCAGATGATTAATTATACTTACTTCCTATTAATATTCTGGATTTTATTTGGCTTATGTGAAGAAAATCCACATTAAGGAAGGAGTCTAAGCTAGAGATTTTATAAGGAATACTATCTTTCAGAATTCAAACCCCACCACCCCACCCCCAGACCTTTTACTTTATAACTAATAAAAGACTAGTGAGTTCTTTCTGAAAAAACTGTTTAAGGTCCCTAGTGTTTGTCTTTACTAACTCATAAGTTGTTAACTCTCAAATATTAAACCAGCAACAAACCAGAGTTCCTTTTCTCACTGTTTATAGGAACTAGGAATTTAGGTTGCTGGTTTTTTTTCCCCCTCCCAGGTATATTGATCATGTAAGAGAAACACACACCACACTGGGAATGAAATATGTAAATAAAAAAATGCATACACAGCACAAAAGCTGTATTACAAAAGCTGTAATAATTTCTTATCAGATATTATTTTGACCAACACCTCAGCTTTGAAACAGACTCTGCAACAGATGTTTTAGTGTGTATGTATATTGAAAAAAATGGAAAAATAAGATCAGGGCAAACACTATTTGTATATATGTATGAACGAATGTAAAACGAAATTGTCAAGTTTTTCTTAATATTAAAAACGACACCAAGAAAATGATATAAAATATGTATACCCTTGGAACTAGGACCAAAAATTTGACAACGTCAACACACTGGGATGGGGCGAGTGGAGGGGTAAAGGAGAATTCATTTCTCAGAGGGAAACTGGAGACCGGGTTGGCCCGGGGTGGGTGTGACTCACATTTTCGGTTAATCTGAATGAACGGGACCGAGGCAGCACCAGGCATCCATGCTAGCTCCGGGCTCCCGGCACGCACCGTCCGCTCCGGGTGCGCCGCCCCAGGCCCGCCGAGCGCCAGCCGGGCTGCTGCCTGCGGGGAGGGAGCGCCGGGCGGGGGCTGATTGACGGGGCGCGCGGTCAGGTGACCCCGGGCGCCACGTTCCCGGAGCCCAGCCTGCGGTGGCCGCCTGGGCCGGGCCGGGGCCGAACCCGGAGCCGAGAGGACCTGATCTCCCGGAACAAAGTTGCCGGCCCTGCGGCAGCCGGGGCGGGAGAGCCGGGGGGAGCCGGACCTGCTGGGCGCCCCTCTACTGGGGAGGCCGAACCCGTGTGCCCAGACGGGAGCCGGTTCCCAGGAGGGCGGCGGCGCGCACCCCGCGGTGCTGCGCCCTCCCCGGCCTCCGGCACTCCTTTCCCCGCTTCAACAAAGGGGCCGGCCGGCGGGCGGGTGAGGGGAGGAGGAGGAGCCGGGGGCGCGAGCCGCCGGCGCACCAAGTTGTGGAGTCGCCTTTCTTCGGAGGAGGGGAGCGGGCGGCCGCAGCGGCCCGCGGGCTTTCTCCCGCCGAGGGGCGAGGAGGAGCCTCCGGCTCCCGAAGCCGATTGGGGAATCTCGGGGAGCGGTGCCCTCCCCGCCGCCACCCTCCTTCGGGGTCATTTCTGCAGACGGAAAACTCTCCAGTGTTTGGCAAACTTGGTGCCTGCGCGCCCGTTCCAGGTTCGCACTGGGACCGTTTTGTTTTTGGCGGAACTACGGGGCAGGAAGATTGCACAAGTTAGGGGCGTTTACAATCGAGTGTCAAAAAAAATTTTTTTTTTCTTTCGGATCTGGTCTGGTTTTCCATATTTCCTTAAACAAAACAAAACAAAACAAACCAACCAAAAAAACCGCACCACAAAGCCCACGTTTGCACACACACCCGCGATTACTACGCCTGAAACACCTCCGAGGAGACCCGGGCCGGCTTGGGACTCGGCAGCGGCGGCGGCGGGCTGGCGAGGCGGCCCGAGGGGCGTGGGAGCAGGTAAGTCCGTGCATTATTGAGCCTCGGGCCGGGCAGTGTGACCACAGCCTCGGGGACGCGGGACGTAGGATGGAGGAGGATGGAGTTTCCTGCGACTCCTGTGCCCAGGATCAGCGTCCCGAGCTCCTTCTCAAGGCTGAGCCTAAGATGTAACCAACTTTTGCGTGCACTCTCCTGGAACCTCAGTGCAGCTCCCCGCCCCGAGGCAGGGAATTCCAGAAACGTGGGGGAGAGCTCGGGCTCGGAAGTCCTCGGAATCAGTGTAGTATTTCCGAACGACCCGAGCGCCTTCGACTGGTTCTGGGCAGCTTCTTGACCCCCTGAGTCTTTCTCCTGGCTGGGGTGAGAGGGTCGTGCCTCCGTGCGCTCTGGGCCAGTGATCCCCAAGAGGGGACGTGGCTTCCTAGGAGAGCCTGTCACACACACACACCTCAGCCCCGGGAAGGCGGGGCCCCGGAGGTGTCCGCCAGGACCGGGTGGGGAGACGTTCCCAGCCATCCGCCTGGCAGGAAACGTGCTCGACCTCCGGGCCGTTGCTTCTCCCGAGGGTGGGGCTTTGGAGAGGTGACAAGGAGCGCTCAGTTGGTGTGTAGTCCCGCGCGATTGCCTCTTCTGGGGTCCCGGATCCTTGGCATCTCTTGCGGCAATTGGTAAGGTAATTCATGTCCCTCCCTGTGTGGCTTGGGGTCCGAGGCACTGGTTGCCCAAGGCCCCTTTAGGAAACCAACACGGCACAAATTTTAGGCTGTGCAACTTTTAGAAGGCACGCTGTTAAAACTGGATTTTTTTTTAAGCCAAGCCCCAGATTACGAAAGGGACTGATTCCAGGGTTGTTTCAAGGGGAGGAGAGAATGTGCCCGACTTGCAGGAGCCAGAGGACTCGCATTTTGTTTTCCACTGAACTGGGGAGCCCGGGTCTAACCTGGGTCTCACTGCCCTCCCCCGCTCCCGGGATGGCCCGGGAGAGTCTCCTCTTTGCCAGCCCCCAGGTGACCTGGGTCACCGGGGCCTCGCGGGTTGTAACCCCTTGTGGGGGAGTGAACCGAATTCTGGGAAGCCCGGATCCCAGGGTCCGGGCGGGAGCTTGCTGCTCCTGGGAACCCGGCAGTAGCCGCATCTATTCCTTTGTAACTTGCACGGGCCTCGGGAGTCGGGTGGGCGCCTCTGGGCTGGTTGCTAGTGGACCCGGGGGACCCGGGAATCAGGCGACAGCTGCAGGAATGTGGAGCTCCTGGGTGCTTCGGCTTCCAGAGCACCGGGGGGCGAGGACCATGGTTTACGCGGAGCCATTCCCCGCCCCCTGGACCAGTTTCTGAGACCCAGAAGACTTCGTTTTAACTCTCCTTCAGGTGTTTACCTGAAATTGATCGCCACCGTAAACAGCATTAACCACAACTGTATGAACTTCCCTTGGAGCGCTTCCGAGAATGAATGGCAATTCTTGACACTGGGCGGTGTCTTTTACTAAGTTTCCTAAGGAGCCTCAAACTCTGGCCCCCGGGCTTTCCTTTCCACTATCTCTAACATTCTTAGGATTGTGTAAACGAAGGAGTACTTTTTGCCCAAGGACCTACAGCATATTGCCATCATAATTGTACATTGTTGAAAATGCTTGTATTCTTACATCTTGTAATTTCCAAATTAAAAAAAAAAATTAAAGCTTGAGTTTTGCCTGTAAGGCCATCCCCCGTCCTTTTAACCCAGGTTTATTGTGTTGGCTTCTGGTTCCCTCTGACAGCCAGAGAACTTTTGAAGAACTGATGTAGAGTTGAGGGTATTGGTTTCAGTGAGAAAGAGCTGGCTAAACTTTGCAGAACTTCATTTTGGGGAAACAGAACCTAGAGCAGAGGTAACAATAAATTATAATTATAAAGCAATATCTCATTCTTTTATTTGGTTTGTCACCTAGCTTGGTGTGGCAGATGGTGGTGTTTCCATAGTATGCATGTGGAAGTGGAGGGTCGCACGGAGGTGCCTTGTAATGAAACTTTGATCCTGTCTTCCGGCAACCAATAATGACTTGCTGCCAAATGTTACTCAACTTGGAGACCCCTGCCAATTAGTGGCATAAAGTATCAGTCAGTGGTAATGTCACTGTTAAAATTTTGGTCATCTGCAGTTCTCCCAATTTGCCCAGTCTTTCCTTGTCCTCTGATCTCCCTTACTGCTGAATCTGTGTAGCCTGTAAAGGATTTTGATTATCAAGAGAAAATCTGAGATTATCTTAAGGAGCTGGCAAAGTAAAACTTTATGATGAAGGAATATTAATGTGCAGATGAAACACAGTTCTGTGCAAGCAATTTACTTTTCTCTTTTGTGGAATGGGAAAAATCTTTTGAAGACCTTGGCTAAGACCACTTATGAAAGAGAGAATTAGAAATATATTTCAAGGGAAATAATTAGTTGCTTTCCAGTAAGAGAATTTTTTGCTGGGAAAAGCTGATTTTCATAGTAAAATTTTATGTGCATTCTTCTGAACAAAATTTTTGGTACTCGAATGTAATAAAATACCTTTAAGTATTTAGCAAATCTTTGGCAGGTATTTACCCCCCAAAAGGAACCTAATTACATGATAATCCATAAAGTACAATAGTAGTGGACAGTATAAAAAGTGAAAAATGTTTTTATACTCTCACAAAATCTCGCAGATTCAGGCTGATGATCTAACCCATATATTTCTCCCTTTTGGAGAGAAAATTGTTCCTAAAGCTTTAGCAATTCATCAGTTTTCATCTACCTCAAACACTTTAACATTTAAAACCTGTTTCTAAGGTGACCTTGACCTCTTTATTATTAGAATATACCCTTTTCCTAACTACTAAGGAAAAGAAATTTTATATTTTATGTATTTCTATTGTTATGAAATATATTATAAAACAATGTGGTGTGTCCTTGAATGTTGTATATTATAAACATAATATGTAAGAACTTCTAAATAGTGAATAAATATGTAAAGTGAACTGTATTACAAAATAGTAATGCATATGATGTGTCCTTGAATTAAATAATTGAGTTGTCTAAGCCTAGCTAACAATAAACTCTGGTTTTGATATCTATTATGATATGTGAATTAATGTCAGTGTCTATTATTTGTAGATTAATATTTGGATGTCTTGACTGTTATTTTCCCAATTAAATGATTGATTTATTTAGCTGGCATTTGAGGTGCTCATAAGGGGATGTTAGGGTATAGCCAAGTTGCTGAACTTAAACTTGAATTCTGATTCTATTTGGGTTGCTTGGGCATTGTGTTCCAGAAAGTTCTAGGACAGTGCATGTCTAATTGACGACATTTTAAAAGAAAAGTGGTACTGCAGGGTAGAATCCTCAATTCTGTAAATTCTCATCATGCCTCGACTCTTTAATTACTAAAAGATTAAAATTATTTTGAGTGATGTCTATTCTCAGGAGAATTCACATGATGGGTTTTCCAAAATAAAATCTGTGTCAATGGATATAACATGTAACTGTCCAGATTTACATATAATCCAGACCATTCCTGAGATCAGACTTTTTGGTCTTCTCCACGTGTATATCTCAAACTCCATCAATCCAAATCACACTCCTTATTTCATCCTTCAGATTCTCATGCTTCAGTGTTCCCAACTCATTGAATGTCTCAATTGCACAGGCCAAAATTGGGCAGTCATTTTGTGCCTCAGTATCCTGAAACTCTCATATCTAGTCAGTTCCCAAACCCTATTGGCCTTCATTTAATATCTAATAGCCCACATGTCCACCCACTTCTTTCTATCTGCACTTATTTAGGCCACAATCATATGTTGCTTCCCAGCTTAAAATCATCTGCTGTTTTCCCAGTGCTCTTCGGCGAAATAACAAAATCCTGTACAGTCTGTCTTTACAGCCCTACCCCTGGTCCTGTCTACTTTACCTAGTTCAACAAATCCCTCTCCTCTTAGGCTCCAAAAGCACCTGCCTTTGCTCAGGTTTTTGAATGCTCTTTGATGCTTCCTGTCACTTTACATGGGAGATTCTTACCTTTTCCTCTTCTCATCTCTTATCCTTGAAGGCTTGGCTCAAATGTCACATCTTCAAGAAAGCCTTCTTTAATTGCCCAGAGCAGGTCAGATTCCCCTGCAGTATGCTCATATTACTCTATGCTTCTCCTTTGTACTTTTGTAACTTATTAGTAGTATAGTGAAATACTCCATTATATAGTTAATTACTTGGTGTCTGTGGATTTCAAACTAGTATAGGTTTTGTCTCTTTGATAGTCATATTTCCATTGCCCAGATCAGTGCATTATACTTGAAAGTGAAAGTGTTAGTTGCTCAGTCATGTCCGACTGTTTGCAACCTCATGGACGGTATAGCCTGGCAGGCTCCTTTGTCCATGGGATTCTCCAGGCAAGAACACTGGAGTGGATTGCCATAGGCCCCAAATAAGTATTTTCTGAATGAAGGATTACTGTATAAAACCATATATAATGTGCATGTGTGTGTGCTCAGTCGCTTCAGTAGTGTCTAACTCTTTGAGACTCCATGGATTACAGCCCACCAGGCTCCTCTGTCTATGGGATTTTTCAGGCAAAGATACTGGAGTGGATTGTCATGCCCTCCAGGGGATCTTCCTGACCTCCAGATTGAATCCTAGACTCCTGTCTCCTGCAGTGGCAGGTGGCGTCTTTACCACTGAGCCACCAGGAAGCCCACATGTAATATATATATACATATATTTTAATATTTATAGTCATATATATTATACATCTATGATATATATTGTGGTTATATATTACATCTGTATGTAATATGTTATACCTAATATATATGTCAGCATATATTACTATATTACAACATATTAATATAGTCTTGTATATTTTTAAAAATCCATGTTTTCCCTTTTCTCTTTAGGTATTGATGTTGATAATTATAGAAAATTGAAAGTCTTTAAAAGAGGATCTTGTCAAGCCTTTGGATTGTATTGAAGCACAACTAAGATGGCCAAGTATGGAGAACATGAGGCCAGAGCTGACGATGGGCAGAATGAGTTCAGCGACATCATTAAGTCCAGGTCTGGTAAGTAGTGGAAGCTTCAGAAGATGGCTGATTTTTGTTCATAAGCTACAGAGAAGACATAGGATTTGGTTTGTTTTGCACTGTTCTTAGGAGACAAACTTCTTTTGAGAAGCAGAAATCTGACGAATGCTGATCGCTCTGTAAAAGGAAACGCAGTATCTGTGCGTGCTGCGCTTAGTCGCTCAGTCGTGTCCAACTCTTTGCAGCACCCTGGACTGCAGCCGGCCGGGCTCCTCTGTCCATGGGCCTTCTCCAGGCAAGAACACTGGAGTGGGTTGCCATGCCCTCCTTGATATCTCTGTGTATTCTGTCTTAATTTCTCAATCCATCTTGGTCTCCTGGTATGTTGATTGGCATTGCTTGGTGAAACTGCTGCCTGGTAGCTGATAGCTGTTCATTTTTAAGAAGCCTCTTGAACATAAAAATGCAGCTTAAAAAATGATGCTTTAGGTAGGAAATGCTGTGGTTTCTGATGAGGTGGGTAGTCCTCCTGAGATTTGCTTTCATACACCCTCTCCCCTATCCCGTTTCTAACCAGTGCTAGGCCAGTGTTTTTCTACCTGTGCTTCCCTTTTTGAAGCATCTTATAAACCTTCTCAAGGTACACTTTTACCTAGGTTATCTAGTAAGCTAGATTAAGACAGATGAATGGTTTTCATTGAAGATCTAAATTGATGACATAAGGATACCACTCCCTCCCCCAGTCTTTTTATATAACCAAGTACTCTACCACAATGGCTGTATAACTGAATCAACTGGGGAGGGTTTTTTAAGTAGAGATACATTGGCTCCACTCCAGACCTACTGAGTAAAAGTTTCGGTATTTTTAAAAAGCATCAAATGTGATTCTGAGATAGACTCTATGGGGAGATATTTTTGAGCAGCCAGGACCTGAGTTTTGAAAATTACACAGAACTTGACCCTGGGTGTGAACACTATACTTAAGTAACTTTGAGAGTTACTTTGGGCTATAAACTTAATACCCAGTGTCACTTTAAAACCAAAAAAGGAACCTCATGTCTGTTTTTGCTATGTGAACCATCTTTATATTATGTTAGAAGGTTGTTTTTTATTGTATGAATCTGCAGAAATATGCACTGAAAATAGGCTGTAAATTAATAGAGATGAGGGTTTCCCTGGTGGCTCAGATGGTAAAGAATCTGCAATATGGGAGACTTGGCTTTGATCTCTGGGTCAGGAAGATCCCCTGGAAAAGGTAATGGCAACCCACTCCAGTGTTCTAGCTTGGAGAATTCCATGGACAGAGGAGCCTGGTGAGC